CTGGGTGTCATTGGGATGTTCCTTGGGGATCAGGCAGCCTCCCATAGCACTGGGTGTCATCGGGAGGCCTTTCCCGCTCGCTTGGAGTGGTGGGATCCCTCCCTCGTGCGGAGCCGGTGGCTCCCGTGCCGCGGAGGTGCCCGGGSGAAGCGGCAGCGCTGTCACCCGCGCCGTGCTCCTGCTCCTTGTCCCGCCGTCCCCCGTGGGCCCCGGCTCGCGGCTGTGCCCGCGGGCCCCACATCGCCAGCTCTGCCCCCCGAGCGGCCGCCGGACCCGCGGCGCGGCGGCCATTTGGACGCCTCCGTGGCTGCGCTGCCGTTGGCTTCTGTTGGCTGCCGTTGGCTTCCRTTGGGCTTCTGTTGGGCTTCCAGCGGTCGCTGTGGCGTGCGTGCACCCGTGGGGCCGCCTCGGGAGCGGGACGCGTCCCTCTCTGCATTCCCGTCRGCGCTGTGGCTGCCTCGGCCTCTGCAGGCAGTTACCTGGTTGCCTGCACGGTCGCTGTAAGAATTTCTGTTGCTTTTTGTCTGTGCAGTCTCTTCTGGGTGCTCTGATTTGTTTTCGTTTTAAATTATTATTATTATTTCTTGAAAGAGCGTGTGCTTATCAAGGTAGCCATACAAAGCTATTTATCTCTCCTGGGCTATTGTCCTGGATAGTTTGCGTGGCAAACTCTGTTCCTCCTAGTATTGTCAAGGTTTGGAGGAAGCAGTGGGCCCTCATCTTAAGTGTGTGCGGATAGGAGGGAGGAAAGAGTTAGATGTGTCTTTGGATTGAACGTGCTCGTGGGTCCTTACGCCTAAAGCTTCGGAGTTTGTTCCTCACGGCTTCCTGCAGGAACGGGTGCGTTGCTGTGAGAGAACCAGCCCGTTGCCGGGGTGTCCTGGCTGCACAGCGTGGTGGTTGGCACCGGACACTCGAGCACCCTTCCTTGTCCCCCTGYGGACGCTGCCGTGCCGCTCGTGGGGCGGGTGGCACCCCAGGATTATTGCCCAGGGATGGGGTACCTGCCGCGCTGAATGGTCAGGTTGCTCGTGGGAATGAATTTCGTCCTCTTTCCTGTTCCTCGGCCAAGTTATTTGTTATTGGATACTGCACAGTCAATGTCGTGTGTGTTTTCCCAACCTTTTGGTGATCTGGTCTTTGAAGCCGGGAGGATCCTTTTCTTTTGTGTTTGGGGATGGAGCTTTTCAAGTATGGCCATGATGGAGCGAACATGCAGTGCCATGGTTCTTGCTGAAAACAACAAAGCCCATCCAGACACATGAAAATTAAATACRCAGTGAATCCTAATGAAGAAGATTAACAGGTTTAGCCTGCTGCCATCACCTCCTTTTACATCTCYTTGTACGAATTTCCATCCCCCCTCAGATTTCGTACCCCTTGGGTGCCCTGGAAAGGTTTYGCCTTCTCACCTTTGTGCTTGCCTGCACAGGGAGCTCCAGTTGAGCTGCTTCGAGGGGGAGTCGTATTCCAAAAGGATGCTGTGTGTGCAAGGAACATGCAGGCTCTACAGCACAGCAGTGGTGCTATACCAACTGCAACCTGACCTTCATTCTTCCTCCAGTGGAGGAACCTTTATCCATAGGTGAAGTGAGCCAAGCAGATTTTGATCTTCCCCAAATGTAGCTCTTTTCCTGCTTGTGTGCTTTCCTGATGCCTCCTTGATGATGCCTCCTTCATGTTCMTCAGCATTTCTGTTTAGCTTTGGACAGATACAGGTGGCTACAGCATTCCAGAGAAGTACAGGGATCACTGTGTGGAGCAGAACAGGGAAGGATTATTTCCTTCCCAGATCTGGGATGTAACATTTTTCAAATGCAGCTTATGACACTGGTCTGAGTATTTATTCAGCTCTTCCCCTTTTCAAATATCTGCTTGAATTTTATCCTTTTTTTTTTCCTTCTTTGTCTTTGTGTGTCTCCCCTTTTCATATTTTTGAATGTTTCTCCTGAGAATTTGATTCCCTCATCTGTGTGGGCTGCCTCTGACCAGTTCTGTCTGTTTCTCCTCCTATTTGAACAAAAAAAAAATGCAACTGCTTCTTTGCCTTCTGTGGATTTTGACTCCTTGCTTTCTCTGTTTTGAGATACTCTGGAAATACCAGATGTGTTTCTTCTATTTATTATTTCATCTCTTCTGTCTTCTTTAAGAATATTAGTAATGAATTACAGAGTAGA